CAACAATTTTTTTCACCAGCACATGCAGTTTTTGAATCATAGCTTAGTGTGTGTCAGACAACATATTCAGAGAGGACTAGACAGGAAATGGCCCCCAAGGTGTGGGGGATTCTCACGGAAAACACATACATCTGAACACATTTCAGTGTGTAGAAAATATACAAAGATGTCAATGCATATTTCTTTTGCTTTCAAGAATTTTTGTTTCAGATTTTTTTAATTTTTAGAATTACACCTTTTTGTAAAGATGCAATCAACAATTTTCATCAACACTGCTTGCTTCAGCCCTTCTCCACTCTGCAGGTTTTAAGCGAAACGCAAATATGAAACATCTGCATCTTTTCATCTGACTGAACATTATTTACTATCTTCAAATTAGATTTAGGAAAGTAATGAAAAATTGAGCTATTCCATGATAAATTTTCTTTGACATGCTTTTTCTTTGCAAATACATCACACTTATAAATTAAAGCATTTTGCAATTGAATATAATCTGCCCACGCACCCAAGAGAGTGCACTCCTTAATCCTTCCCATGACCTGGCACATGGCCTGAGACAGAAATTTGGTCTGAAATTCCAGTTCTTTTCTTTTCTATTTTTCTCTCCATCTGTGCTTTTAAACAAGCAGTGGAGTCCAAGATCAAGCCTCATGGGACCTTCAAGGGAAGAATATTTGTTTTCTATCTTATTCATACAGTTGGTAACCATCAGTTTTATCAAATAAAAATAATCAGGTAAAAAAGTAATGAGTATTTAGTATGGGACAACTTATTTAACAAATATTGTTGAAGTGTGTTTGATGGTAGTAAAGTTATTCGTGTTTCAAGTAAAACAACTTGCAGTTTGTAGGACAGTTTGATGTATATTTTATTTGATTTAACATAATATTAACATTGGTAATAAAACTGTAAGGCAGCCATTTCTTTTTTAAAAGTATACAAAATGGCACCCATATGGCTTCTTAAAACCTTTAATTCAATTCATGTTTATTTCTCTAGCACTTATACATTATAAATTGTGTCAACGCAGCTTAACATCGAAGTTCTAGTAAATTAAAACTGTGTCAGTCCAGTTTTCAAAGTTGAAGTTCAATTTAGTTCAGTTCAGTGTGGTTCAATTTCACTGCTGAGAGTTCAAACACTGTAGAGCAAATCCATCGATGCGCAGCTCCACAAGTCCCAAACCAAGCAAGCCAATGGCGACAGCGGGGAAAAACAAAACTTCACCAATTGACAAAAGTGAAGGAAAAAACTTTGAGAGAAACCAGGCTCAGGCACTACCATTTATCCTTTGGTCAAACTTTCTGTGCAGAGCTGCAGTCTAGGCGCTGGATGCTGGAGAACGTTGGAAGTCCATCTTGGAGAAACTGCACATGTGTAGCACTTCCAGTTCTACTAACCCTCTCCAAACTGGAATTGAACCTGCATTTTGGGCATGGGAGGAACTAAGGACACTTAAGACTAGCTTCTAGCACAATGGTCTCAAACTCAATTCCTAGAGGGCCAAAGCTCTGCATAGTTTAGCTCTAACCACCTTCGACTCACAGCTGATTAATAGTCCCTAGTAATCTTGAACACCTTGATTAGTTGGATCAGCTGTGTTTAATTAGGGTTGGAGCAAAACTGTGCAGAGCTGCGCCTTTCAGGAATCTAGCTTGAGACATATGCTCTAGAGTCAGTTGCTAGTGCTGCTCTTAAGGACAGATGAGTGACATTATCTCAAACAGCTCTGACAAGGGCCTTGTCTTAAATAACACATTTGTGCTTAGTCCTTGATTAGATACAAGCCACAGCAGAATAAACTGGCAATTATTGTGTTTTATATATGTTTTATGCGGTGAATGTCCTTCCAGATGTAACCCAGCAGTGGGGAACACCCATAAACTCTTTCGTTCACACAATAATTCACTACAGCCAATTTTGTTTCACCCAATTGACCTATACCACATGTCTTTGGATTTGTGAGGTAAACCGGAGCACACGGAGGAAACCCATGCAAACACGAGGAGAATATGCAAACTCCAGACAGAAATACCTAATGGCCCAGCCAGGACTTGAATTAGCAACCTTCTAGATGTGAAGCCACAGTTCTAACCTAATGACTTAAATTCTGATTTGCTTTCATTGGGTCTGTTCAAACTAAAAGAACCATCAGGGGTATTTGTTACAATTGATGAATGAAATATTTACAACCCGGGCTCATTGTGGAAACGTAGCCCCGCGGACGTTTCTGTGGACCGCAATTTACGCCCCGGGAGGTACGTATTCGAGCGTTTTTTCATTTGGCGCCCGCGCCGTTCTCGCGCGAAAAGCCGCCGGATCGAAAAAAAAAAATAAAAAATAAGCAAAAGCCCTCGTCTTCGATTTCGACCGCGTTTTCGGATCCCGCCGCGTGCTCGCTCTTATTTTCCAGATTCCGTTTTTCGTCTTACCTGATTTCCGGAACCCGCCGTTCCCCGGACTCGATCCCGGTCGTCGTCCACCGCGGCCGGCTCCGGCTCCTCCTCCTCCGGGGCCTCCGCTCCGCTGACGCAACGCTGTGAGCTAGGCGGACAAACTGATTGCGTCAGGAAAGCCCTCCACTCGGAGGCAAGCCGTCGGCCGGCGAGCGCGAAGAGGAGGGGCGGAGCGGCGCCACACCGCCCCGCAGCGTTCGCTAAAAAAAAACCAAACGCGGCCTTTACGTACCTCCGGCCACGTAAATCGCGGTCTCCAGAAACGTCCACGGGGCTACGTTTCCAGAATATTTAGGTGTTTTTGTACTACTTTGTTTTATAAAGTGAGGTATTTAAATTGCAAGCTGCCTTTAAAGGGCACCTAGGTTACCCCTTTTTTCAGATTTAAAATAAGTCTTTTGCGTCTCCAGAATGTGTCTGTAAAGTTTCAGCTCAAAAACACCCATCAGATTTTTATTATACCTTTTATAAGATTCTATCTTATACCTTTTTAAATCAGGTAGCGGTTTTGTTGTACTGCGCATTTAAGGCTAGTCCTCCCCGCCTACCGTTTCTATGTGCCTTTCTGCATGCCTTAATCTCCTCCCTCGACTGCGTCAGACAACAGACCTCATGTAGCGTTTGTGAGAAATACTACAGTAAGTACTTTACCAATGAGTATTTGTTGTGGAGTTGCAGCAATGAGTCACACATAATATCGTTACAAAGTTCACGCGCACACACACAGATACGCATACACAGCTGCAGACACACACAGACAGACAGTGTGTGCATTTAGCTTTGCACTCTTTTAGCAAGCAAATGTGACAAAATACAGGTTACTTTCCACTGGTGTATGAATATCTGTTATGTCAATGTACAAAATAAACCTGATTTAACGTCCACAAACCAGGATTAAAGCGTCAACTTTTATAATTGTTTTCACTCGCGGCTGTGCTAATGAAGTAAAGCTGATTGATGATGATTGATGATCCTAGCAAACTGAACAGACCTTTTATTCCCGGTTGCTTTGCACAAGTCCTGTCTTATTGATATGATTATACACATGACTACCGGGACATGTTAATACGCAGCTGTCAATCAATTCGGTGGGCGGGGGGACCGCATTTCTACGTCAAGTTGCGGTCGATCTGAATACTGCTTCAATTGATCCACAGTTTTTATGTTGTTAAATTGAAAAAAAGGACTGGGTGTGTTCATATCACTCCAATATGACGGTCTATATACTACATCTACACATATGTCTGTCCAAACAGATTGAAAAGTAGATTTTTCACTATAGGTGCCCTTTCAAAGTTAGATGTAAGTCATGCAAAAGCCGCTGTAAACAAAGTAATGAAATAATTATTTCATGATTTGGGTGACATGGTGGCTCAATGGTTAGCACTGTCACCTCGCCAGTAAGAAGGTTGCTGGTTCGAGTCCTGGCTGGGCCAGTTACCATTTCTTTGTGGAGTTTGCATGTTCTCCCCGTGTTTGTGGGAGTTCCTCTGGGTGCCCTGGTTTTCCCCACAGTCCAAAGACATGCGCTTTAGGCAGGGATGGATTCAACCAATAAGCAAGGTAACTGGCCACTTAGGGCCCAAGGAAATCTGAGGGCCGCTAAATAAATACCTACAAGTATAAATGATACCTATAAATTATATATAACATTGTTTTCTATAATATTTTGTAAGGTGAGGGTCCACAAATTTTAACTGGAATATATTTATTACATCTGTGCAAATGTGCCCCCACCTTCAATCATGGATCAGTCCAGCAGTCAAATCAGTAAAGATTTAGTTTTAAAAACTAAATAGTTCATTTATTATGTTTAGCTGTGAATTCATCTTAAGAAAAAAAATCATTTTGAAAGTTTTACAAGATGCTTTATATGTTATTATTTTCCATTTAGAAAAAAGTAACAAGGGAGATTGAATGAAATAAGAAAGAAAACAGCAAAAATAAAAAAATTAAGGACAAAAGGTGCATTTTGGAACTTTGGGGCCCTGTGGCTGAAATTAATTAGGGCCCCAAAATCACTAAATTCATCCCTGGTTATAGGTGATTGAATAAACTAAATTGGCCACAGTGTATGTGTGCATGTAAGAGTGTATGGATGTTTCCGAGTGCTGGTTGCAGCTGGAAGGGCATCCGCTGTGTAAAACATATGCTGGATAAGTTGGCAGTTCATTCTGCTTTGTTGACCACTGATAAATAAAGGAATTGCAAAGGAAAATTAATGAATGAACATATCATGATTCATTATTATTAATGTGCTGTAATAATTAGTTACAATAGACTATACTACAAGGTGGTAAGTACAAATTCACTTCGTTTTAGCTAAAAGAATCGTTTTGGAAGTAAATTAACTCATTGAGGAATTGAATCTAAAATAAAGCTAGATCTGATGCTCGTTTGGAGACAGTGTTCACATCTGGATGGGAGTGGGGAGGGCTGTTCCGTGCCTGAACTCGGAGATCACTACAGTGTGTGTGTGTGTGTGTGTGTGTGTGTGTGTGTGTGTGTGTGTGTGTGTGTGTGTGTGTGTGTAATCTGCAACAGATGACTTCTTGGGGGATGAGAGGGTCTGACGGAGGCTAATGTTTCCTCGGCTGAAGCCACATCAGCTCGCAACGGTTGTGCATGGATACCTAAATACAGTCGCTGTGCAATCGTGATCAGTTAGACATAATCTAAATGTCTGCATTCAGTCGACAATGCATTAATGAATCTTCGATTCCTGGCGAGGAAGAATTTGGTGAATCAACAAGATTTGGCGAACAAAGGAATGCGTTAAGCGCCTTGTATTTGCATCACTGGAATGGCATATTTGCTCTCAAACTTATTTTTGTTCGGCAGTGGATTGCTTTTATTCTTCGCCCCTGTTTGCGCCATTTGTCCGGAGCGATGTGATTGCCAGCACGCGCAGCATATCCTGTGCGCAAACCGCGGTCTCCGCGCGGTGCCCAAAGCGCCGCAGGTGGAGCACGCAGAGGATGTGCGGGTTCTCAGTCTCGCGGGAAACTTCATTCACAACATCAGTGCTTTTGACTTCATGCGCTATGGCGACCTAATGAGACTTAATCTCCAGTTTAATCAAATAAGGAGTATACATCCTGAATCATTCAAGAAACTATCCAAACTAGAGGAACTATTTCTAGGAAACAACCTAATATCGACGATACAACCTGGGACTCTACAATCGCTGAAAAAACTCACAATATTATATAGCAATAACAACGAAATCAACGAGTGCATCCCTAAATCATTTACCCATTTAAACAGTTTAGTGAAACTACGACTTGATGGAAATTCGATCGAAGTGTTAAAGGAGTCCGTCTTCGAAGGTTTGCCAAACTTAATGTTTCTCCACTTAGAATCGAACCACCTTCGGCGTATCGACCGGAATGCATTCTTGCGGCTCAGCAAACTGCAGTTTTTAAACCTGTCGGACAATAAACAAACAGAGCTGCAAGATGTTTTTATGTTTTCTGACCTTAAGTCACTCAAAACTCTTCTAATTGCGGGCAACCAAATAAGACACGTTGGAAACCACGTTTTCCAGAGCTTAAAAAAACTATCAAAACTTTCACTGAGCCATAACAAGATATCAAAGCTAGGCAACGAAGCGTTTAAGGGGCTCGGACGCGTGAGGGAGTTTATGATTGACAGGAACGAGCTGACAGAGATTCCTGCTGGTCTGCTGGACCCGCTCGAGCGCATCGAACACCTCGACTTCAGTGACAATCACATATCTCTCGTGGATCAAGGTGCTTTTGGACATCTATCACACCTTAAAATCTTAAAACTGAAAAACAACCGTCTGATGAATCTCTCCGGCAGTATTTTCGCATCAAACGGCGGTTTGTTCCATGTAGAACTGAATGGGAACAACTGGACTTGTGACTGCCGGATGGAGAAACTTAAAAGTTGGATGACACATGCGCATTCTCAGGGAAAGCTCTTGACCGTGTTTGTTCGCTGCCTGCACCCCCCAGTGCTGGCGGGAAAATACTTGGATTATGTCAGCAACTTGCAGCTAAAAAACATGAGTGGCTTTTGTGAGTCAGAACCTCTGTCTCAGCCAATGGAAAGCCGTGGGGCTGTAGTTGAAACACCAGTTTTCAAGGAGGAAAGAGAAAAGCGAGAAAAGCACGATGAAGTAGAGGTCCAAGGGGATCAAGGGGTGCAAGGACCTGGCACAACACTAAAGAGAAAGAAAAAGAGAAAACTTGCCAGCTCAAGACCAAAACCCACAGCTAGGAACACAGGGAATGGCTCCTTGTCTGATCTGTTTACTACAATGGCCATGTTTTTGGAAGGCCACAATTACAGCACCTTTGCTTTGACCCCACAGGAGCAGTTCAACCTGCCCTTACAAGACCAATCCAAGTATGAAGACTCAAAAACGGCAGGGATCGCTGATGCTTGTCAATTCAACCGTCTCTCCATCTTAAACGTAAGCGTTGAAGACATCACTTCAATTACAGCCACAGTCCGCTGGAGTACAACTCCTGACACTGGACTAGCTCATGGGAAAGAACTTCACTTCAGGGTTTTATTTGACCGTTTCGGCCATGCTTTCCGCTTCCCACGCTATGTTTACACAGATGGATCTGACCGGGCAGTGACCCTCCAAGAGCTCCGCCCAGAGTCCACATACATCACCTGTGTGGAGAGTGTAGTTGATGGGACTTTGTGCAAGGTCGCCCCCAGAGATCATTGCACTGGTTTTGTCACACTTTTGCCCTCTGTGACCACAGAGGTCAACCTACAGCTCATCACAGTAGCAGCCCTGGCGGCAAACGCACTACTCCTCCTGCTGGTTGGTGGAGTCTGGCTGGGCCGTGTGTTAAAGAGACGGATCAGAAGCAGGAAGTCGTCCGCTCATGCACATGTACGTCACATGTACTCAACCAGGCATCCATTCCGCTCAACAGTGGCCACTACATGCGTCTCTTCTGAATTCAGCGGTTATCAGACCGGCAGACAGCTGGCTGAAGAAGGTGACCTCATCCAGTTCCCCGGCGACCGTTTCTTTGACAACAACCCCACACGAAGAGATGATGATGGCATGATGATTAGATATTCAGACTGAAGGGTGACGTGTGTGAGAAAAAAAAATTTTTTGTCAGTTATGGACAGAAAGTTTAAAACACAGATTTCTAAATATTTTTTACCTTCTTTTTTTAAGCCTCAGCTGCTGGTTGGCAGAATTGCTTGGTTTTGTAATGTTTCTGTTAAAGTTTATTATATGTTACTACTTTCCTGTACAGATACTGCAATAATTTGAAGTCAGACATAAATCAAATGAGTTACTGAATCAAAAACGGTTACATTTTAAGGACTTTACATTTTTAATTGTTGCTTTTTTCCCACGCTTTTCTTTGTAAATGTTAATGATTGTTCGTATCTATCATTTATTTTTTTTTTATTATATGTATTTGTTTCACCTCTGATCTAACCATATACTTTTTTAGAAAGCCAAATTTGTTTTGGCCATCCTTTCTGGAAAACGTCAAAAACGATACATGAATGTCACCATGTGATGGCGCAATAAACCAAGTTTTCACAAGATTAGACTTCAAACCCTTAGTAATATGGCAAGTCGTTTGACATTTAATCTATAACCCGTTCTAGTATCTATTTTCATGTTACTAGTGCTTGTTTTTTTAGATACTTTTGTTAGTAAAAATTAGAAATTTAATTATTAGACACTAGTACCTAATAATTAACTACTAGCACATATGGCAAGCCATTTTGACATTGAATCCATAACCCATGATAGTAGTATATATTTACATGTTACTACTGCTTATCTTTAGTCACTAGTACTTATGTTAATAGTGACTAGTAACTATTCTGTTGTTACTAGTAAATTTAAAATTTCTCCTTTGATTTCTGTTGGATCTATCATTGAGATATAAACTATTCAGTTTTGATTAGAATGTATTTCACCTGGGACTAGTACATATTTTATGTTTTAGTAGTTAATCATTAGATACTAGTACTTATTAATAAGATACTAGTTCCTAAATAATAGATTCTAGTACTTAAGTATTAGATACTTGTACTTATTCATTAAATTCTATCAATTTAATAGGTACTAGTACTTATTCAGGGTTGCCAGGGTTGGTACTAGGGTTGCCACAGCGGAATGAACCACCAACTTATCCAGCATATGTTTTACCCAGTGGATGCCCTTCCAGCTGCAACCCATCTCTGGGAAACATACACACATACACTAGGGGCAATTTTAGCCTACCCAATTCACCTGTAACTCATGTCTTTGGACTGTGGGGGAAACCAGAGCACCGGTGGAAACTTATGCGAATGCAGGGAGAACATGCAAACTCCATACAGAAACCCCAACTGACCCAGCCGAGGCTCAAACCAGCAACCTTATTAAATAAATACTAGTACTTAAGGAAAAGATACTAGTACACATTTATTAAATACTAGTACTTGTTTAAAATGTTACTAGTAAAAATCTTTATTTTACAAGTAAAATGTTTAATGTGGGGGGTGCGGGCAGCTGTATGAAACCCAAAAGTTTACTGTCTTAATCACCAGTTTCTAAATGGTCTGTCTTTAAAAGGGACCGTTGCTACACCCCTGCATACTAGTCAACACTAGTCAATGACTTATTACATTCTTATTATTGTTCTGTTGATTTCTATGGGATTTATTACATTTGTTACTAGTAACAACAGAATAGGTACTAATCACTATTAAAAGAAGTACTAGTACCCAATGAATAAGTACTAGTACCTAATGAATAGATACTAGTATCTAATGAATTAGTACTAGTATCTAATACATTCTAGTATATTTTTAATAGGAACTGGTATCTAATGAATGAGTACTAGTATCTAATAAAAAGAACTAGTGTCTAATTAGTAAGCACTAGTATATTTTCAAAAAGCACTAGTATCTAAAGAATAGGCACTAATTAGCACTAGTATCTAATTAATAAGTACTAGTACTAAATAGAAAATATACAAGTATCTTAAAAGTAGGTACTAGTAACATGAAAATAGATCGTACAGGCTATTGATTAAATGTCAAAACGGCTTGCCATAGTAGTAAAGCCTTGATGATAATCCAGGTCATTGAAAGTTTTGGCTGCATTGAATGTTAAAAAATAATCATAAATCAAAAAAAAAAAAATAGCCATACTAATACACTAACGGCAGCAGTTGAATCAAACCAACCTGAAACTGAAAAAGAGATCAGAGCAAACTAAAAGAGATATTAAGTGCTTTTAATCAAAAATGGCCACAGTGTGTACAAAAATAGATAAATATTTTGGAAAAACCTGTACATGCATAAAACAGATTAAACCTGTCGAGTTGACTTTTTTTCGTCATAATATCCAGATTGATAATTCCATATTCCACAGAATGTAGCCACACTAAACCTTTAGCAAGAGATAATACACATGCTTGCATGTCATTTTGATTGTCACTGAGCCAGTTAGTGTGAAATGATATTTCCTACTGTATTCAGTATACCAGAAGACATTCCTAGTGCCATGAGTGTGTTTAGTAAAACAAGATTTAGCTCTGCTTATATAAAAAGAGTTGCATGTTGTTATCTCAGTTTAACATTCACATGTGATACTATTAGTACTTTCATAGGTAATGTGACACCTGATGATTTACCAAGGGCCTCTGACAATATTTACAGTGAAGACAAACATGTAACAACAGTTTTAGCTGCATCATAAATTTATAAAACTAGAGATTCCTATTTACAATTACAAATTTACATCTGCCCTGATTCAAAGCATTTCACACACCTTGCCATTCATTCCCGGTTTTAGCACACACAGCTCTAAATGAAGCTATCGGACCATTTATGCTGAAAGTGGCCAACAAACCAAAACAAAAGGAATACGTGCACACATACTCTAAGAGTAAAACAAGATGAGTGTCCCTGAGAAAGGTAAGCTATTTAAAAAAGTAACAAGAAGAGTGTAAGAAGACAGAAAAAAAAGGGTACGAAGAGAGTGAGAGACGGGTTTGAAAATAAGACAACTAAATTTAGTTGAATCTAAAAGAACTGTTTGTTTTATAGCGCTGTAATAACTCACAGTGCAGCAAGATACGACCACTGGGGACATCCACCTGACCCTTGACTGATTTCCTGAGACGTCAAGGGCCAGATATATAAACAAACTATTCTTCTCTTGACCTTAAAGGCCTGTTCACATAAATAATGATAGCTGTAAAAATATATGAGCAATTCCGTGCAAATGTCAACCTTGCCATGAAAAAGATTTTCGTTTTTACCAAAATATGGAAACCATTTCTGGGTTTTTTGTGTAACCAAGTATTTTACAGTACTTTAAAAATACTCAAAAATGCATCTGTCAATGTTTTCAAACTTTTCTATTTGGTTTACCAAAGTCACACAAATGGTAATTTCACATGCGTCACATCCATAACAGAGAGATGTCACATCCATAACGACACTTTTTCCTCAGAAATGTGAAAATATTAAATAAAATAAAACCAAGCAATTTTGTTTTATAGAGAGCCGACTCTAATCCTTTTGATTAGCATTATTTCTTTTGGGTTGTGCAGTTTAATTCACATAATTTCTACAAAGTATGTTGTATACTGTAAACTCGCAGACTTTTTTTGTCACATCCATAACGCATGCTTATTTTCCTCATTTAAAGTACAAAACACGTTTACAGATTGATATTTTTCTTCTCCCATAACTCTGTGGCTCGTTGCTCTTGAAAATATAATAAAAATGTTTAATATAATGTTAACATATACTTTCTCTGTCAATTTATGTGTTGAGTTTTTACTGCAAATGTCACATCCATAACGCTGGAATTGCTCATATGTAACTTCAAGTATATGTTGTAAACACTAATAGACAATAACATTTTTTATTTAAGAATGTGGGCAGTAGTTGTGTTGTCTGCCCCTTCAACCTGCTTGATTTCTTAAAGGCAGAATAGGTTTTGCTTGCTGCCTATGATTTTATCCCTACTCAGCTGGTAAAAAAGTTATTGTGATTCCAGTAAAATTGTTAATGTGTGTTTTATTCTTATAGATATGATGTGGACTCTAATAGTCATCATATTATTATAATCCTTCATGTGAACAGGCCTTAACTCAGCCTTTCAGAAATACACAGCTGAAGGCAAAATGATCAGCCCTCCAGTGAAATGTTTATTCTTTTTCAAATATTTACAAAGTGATGTTTAACAGAAAATATCTTATTATATATATATAATAAGAAAATATCTTATATATATATATATATATTCCAATGACTTGCCTAATTAGCTTAACTTGCCTAGTTAAACCTATTAAGCCCCTTTAATATTACTTTAATCTGAATACTAATATCTTGACAAAGTATTAGAAAAATATTATGTACTGTTACCATGGCAAAGATCAAATAATTTGTTATTATAAATAAATTATTAAAACTTATAAATAACGTCCCTCTATAGAAGAGACCTTGGAAAATATCTGAAAAAGAATTAAAATTTCACACTAATAATTTTGCCTAAAACTGTATGTGTTGCATACATTCCATTTTAGTTATAAACTCAAGTTTGAAAGAGTGGATCAAACATATTGCTGTTCATTTTTGCTTCTGCACTGATAAGTATCTGTATGGCTCTATGGGCCCTGAGCAAATGGCTCTGAAGACAGATTGTGTTGTCTGACTATGGAGAATCATGTTATAGCTGTGTGTTGCTAGTTGAGTGTGAGTGTGTGGTGAGGTGGCCACGGGGTAAAGTTGAACTTGTTGAGATGCTGTTGTGTTGGATAGCATGTGAATGGACAGGACTACCTGTTGGGCTGCCTATACCACCTAAAAAAACCAATACAAAGAGAAATGATTAAAACATATTTTTTTCAAAACAAATATAATATGCATTATATGTAATAAAACAAACAATATTAATAAATAAACATCACCATCAAAGTGTTTAAAGCCAAATCACTTGTGCTGACCTGTACAAAACATAAAATAACTATTTCCCAAATTTATATAAATGCAATATATTTTATTTATTTTCTACATAAATGTAAGGAATTATTATTATTATTATTATTATTAGTAGTAGTAGTAGTAGTAATTGATCATATTAAAATTGAGTTATTTTTAAAACTATTATTATTATCAATGATTAATATTTATTTAATAAAAAAGAAAAAATATTTACTGTCGCTTTTAGTCAAATTAATGAATTCTTATTTTAATGCATAAAAATATTTATTAATTGAAAAAAAATGAAAATGTCAAATGTAATTGGACATTACTATATTTTATCCAGACATTTTTTCTTTAATGACTTTTTTTATTTTATTTATTATTATAATATTGCTTATAAACATTGTGTCCTCAAACATTGTTTCATGGTTTTGATTAATATTTTTGTTTAAATATAATTCAACAACATTTTTAAATTATACTATCACTATGTATAACTATACTGTTCAACTACTCATTAATGTAAATTTCTAATCATCCAATCACGTGGCAGCAACTCAATGTATTTAGGCATGTAGGCATGGGCTGCATTCGAAACCGCATACTTCCATACTATATAGTACGGTAAAATCAGCATGCAAGCCAAGTAGTCTGAATTCATAGAATTCAAAAATCAGTATGCGAGAAGTACCCGGACGATCGAACTTTGAGGCGAATGGGCTACAGCAGTAGAAGACCACACCAGGTGCCATTCCTGTCAGCTATAAACTAGAAATTGAGGAAAAAGGAAACTGAATCATCTCAGACTGGTTTCTTGAACATGACAATGAGTTCGCTTTACTTAAATGGCCTCCATAATCACCAGATCTCAATCCAATAGAGCACCTTTAGGATGTGGTGGAACAGATTTGCATCATGGATATGCAGCCGACAAATCTCCAGCAACTGCGTGGTGCTATCATGTCAATATGGACCAAAATGTCAGAAGAATATTTACACTCCCTTGTTGAATCTATGCCTAAATGGATTAAGGCAGTTCTGAAGGCAAAAGGGTGTCCAACCCGGTACTAGTAAGGTGTATCTAAAGTGGCTGGTGATTGTATATTATACTATACCATGCTATATATCATTTACAGTGTTAAATAAATATGCCTTAAATATGCTTCATTTTTGAGCAGTAATAGTTTAATTATCATCATTTTTGGGGTGTAATGTGACTTTTGGGCTGTAATATGATGTGCAAGTTCTTCACAGGTTTTAATGTGATTTGCCCATATACAAAATTATGTGAAAATAAAGTGATTCATACTCACTTTGCGTCTCTCTCTGTCTCACAGATACAGGACAGTCTTTATGTGTAAGAAGAATTTGCTTCAGTTGAGTGACTTCTGTTCTGAGCGATGTCACCTCATTCTAAGAGAAGAACAGAGCAGCAAACAAATGAAACTCAAGACTGTTTAATGTGCTGCATTTTAAGAGGCATCACATTTTACGCATTTTTTCTTTACTGTACAAATGTAAATCAACTAATTAATAATTAGTTAGCTAATAATTAACTAAGCACTAATTTTTTAAAAATAAAAATGGCTGATTTTGTCTTACAGTATGTGTACTTAATGCATACTTATAATGTACTTACCAAATAAAGTACTGTTATATAAGGTAATTTTACAGGTTAATGTTAGGTTGTGATTATGACTAGGGTAGGAGCATAGTGTGTAAATGTAAGATAGGACAGTAACATAAAGTGCTAGTATAAGCACTAAAGTTTTTTGTAGATTTTTTCCACAGCTGTTTATTAAAAAGCAACTAAAATACTTCTAAACATTCACATTAGCATAAGTATTATTTCAGAATGAAGTTCAACAATGCAAAGTTAAATATTTCTGGCTTATTATCCCATCTACCTGTAGCTGCAAGTTCGTGTGTGTAAGTTCCTCAGCCTTCCTCTCCAACGACGACACCCAGACTTTTCTTTTCTGTCTGCACCGTGTAGCAGCAGCTCTGTTTCTCTCCAGAAACTTTCTCCTGCGTTCATCCGGGTCGTCTTCTGCTGTCCGTCGGCGTCTGCCTGTGGCCGGCTGTGGAGGAGACTGTGGGCAATGGCTCTGTTTTGGTGTGGAAGACATCTATGATACACAAATGTTATATTAAATATTACAACAGATCAACACGAACTCTAAAAGTGAGATTTGCCGCAAAAATCTCAACCTGTATAGGTATTGGCTGATGTGAAAGGGGAGGGGCGTTCTGATGGGAGGGGCCAAGAGGCAAGTGCGAGGGTGTGGAGTGGTGGGCGTGGCTGTGATGTGATTGGTCTTGGCTTTGATGCTGATGTGCGAGCCTTTGTGGTGATTGGCTGTGGCAGTGCTGCTGGTATGATGCGTGATGATGAGATGCAGATTGTAAATGCGACAATGGGTGAGGTTGTGATGGCATCATCTCCATCATGTGGCAAAGAGGATTCTGACTGCCGTTGGAAACTGCAGGTTGGCTGTGGGCTGGTATGACCTTTGACCGCTGAAGAGATGGGGAGAAATGGGTCAGAATGGCTCCTGAGGTTACTGTTAACATCACTGACATGCAACACTGCATGGATTATGCATGCTATTTAATAGGACAATTCCTCCAGCAAGATTTGTTTTACCAGCTATTGCAGGCAAGCTTGTGTTTTTAATTTCACAGGATTCTTGTGTGTGGTGATTGTTTGCAATGGTAAGATTACTTGGCACTAAGTATTTCAAAACACAGAATCTACAAAGACGCCTTTGAAAAGTCAGATGATAACCAGGTCAAGCCGAACCCTTTGAAATTCAATCTTCTCCACTTTCTGAAGAGAGTCAGCGCATGAATATATATGTGTGTGTGTGTGTGTGTGTGTGTGTGTGTGTGTGTGTGTGTGTACTCGTTTTGGTAGTTTACAAGGATAGTTTTTTGTTTATTGACATGAGTATGACCTAGCTGTACTATATTATGGTGGTTTATGAGGACATGCCTTGTGTCCTTGTAATTCTAAATGCTTATAAATGATATTTAAGTCTTTTGACATTCAAATTTTGCCTAAGGTTTCCTGTGAGGGCTAGGTTTATCTCTAGAGGTAAATTTTTATTCTATAAAATACATTAAGCCTGTAGAGAGTCCTCATAAACCACCAATACCAACAAAAGTGTGTGTTTGAATGAAGCTTTTTTTTTAACAAGCAGGACTAAAACATTGCATGTGTTTGAATTAGATAACTCAGTCAAGAAGTCTACATTAGTTACCAAGTACTGTGTCATTATAACCCATGTCTGGCTTGTTCTGTTTCTATAGAGACATCATAATCCTGTAACTATGGAGTCACATCATTAGATGGGACTGTACCTGAACGGAGGAGCATGAGCCAGAGTGGGCGGGTCCTGGTATGCCAATAATACTGGAGTTCATTGACATCTGTGACTCCATCTGTCGTTTAAATTATATTTTCAGTTATTGTGATGCATAATAAGGAACAGATGTATAATTTCAATAATTATTAGTCTTCACTTTATACTTACATTCATGTTTGATTTGACAGTGTTTGTCTGTCTGCTGTGTAGACAACTGGGTGCAGATCTGTAATGAGCCAAAAGGGCCTAGATGAGTAGTTAGCAAAATCTTAAAATGAATCTAAAAAAACAAATAATTTATTTACTTACTGGAAAGAAGTTTAGAATGTCAGAGACTTACAAATTATTGAATTTAATAGTAAAGGGCAAAATAGTGTAAAATATTTTAAGGGGAAACATTAATTTGCATTTTATAAACATTTTTACACCGAGATGTTAAGCTGGCAATTTTTTTTTAAATAAGCAATGCTGCTTTAACATCCTTTTCTTGACATGTTTTTAGGTGTGAGGACAGAACAACTTATCACTCACATGAGATCAACCAATCTGCTTGTTAAGCCTGATATTATATTTTCAGGTCCAAACGCCTAATCTCAGATGTTCTAAGACCTGAAAGCAGTATTCTATAACTTAAGAACCACTTTCTGTGAGGGTCCATATATTAAAATCCCTGGAATTTATTAATTTATTTATTATTTATTCATTGCCACAACAGTAACATAACTATTTCATGGCAAAATGGATATACATAAACATATTGCATGATAAAAACAAATACGTATAACAATAAAAAGTTATAAATATATAAAATATAAATAAAATAAAATTCACACAAAAATATATTCAAAGGTAAATAAAATTTTCAGTTAAATTTTTGATAAATTATTTAAGATTCTTACTGGTGGTTCCCTGGAATTTAAGACTATTAATTTATAATCACGTTTTTGAAATTAGGCTACCCCATATATTGAGGTCTCTCAAAGGAAATATATTATTGAGAAAGTGAAAGTAAGAAATATATATTTTTTTACATTTGCTTGTTTGATATTAGTTTAAGTTATCTGGGCCCCCTTTTTGAGAACCAATGATATAATAATATTCCTGGTACAGTATATTTTGGTGACACTCACTGCTTATTTGAACTGGAGTATGTGGCAGTGCATTGAGACTGACACTGTGAGCTGTGCGTCTGGAGCTGGTTCTGGTTCAGATGGGCCAGTGCACACGACTGCTGTTGCTGAGGCTGAAACTGCTGATGTTGACCTTGCTCAGGTTGTGTTTCGGTGTGAGGCTGCCTCTGAGCTGACGTCTGTGCAGAAAAGTTCTAAAAAGAGGAAAAGAGCACACTTAATTTTGAAGGTCTGTTTGTTGAATTTAAGTTACATTGCATCTACATGCCAACTAGTTCTCATTAGATAATAAGTTAGGTTGAGGTTAGGGTTAGTGTAAGTCAGTTCAATGATCAAGTTAAACTTATAGTCAGTTAAATGTCTGTTAAAGGAGCAGTTTCAACTTTTTTTGCCACTCTGCCCTTCTATAGAGATCTGTATATGAGAACTGTTTTAATACCTTTAATTCTTAGTACATTCCACATATTATGGACATACACACATATGCAAATATGGAATTAAATGTAAAACTTAACTAGCTTAAAGACTTCTATTTGTGGTAAAGACTGTTAAGCAAATTAATATATTATTCATTTGAACATGTGTGTAAGATTTGAAACATGAACTTCCTCTCACCGGTTTGGTCTGCTCTTCCGTCTGAGACTGGTTAAGCTCCAGGTCAGTAAAGAGGCCCACTTCCTCACAGTCCCGTAAGAAACGAGTTGGTGTTGGAGTCTGATCTATAGATGAACAAAGAGTACATATATGTCAAATCACAAATGCAAAGAGAATGCCACACATAAAAATGTCACTGGCAATAAATAAAGGAAGTCAATACGATAGGGATTTTTATTAATTAGAACAAGGTGAGTTCATTTATAAAGTACATTTATATCAGAAAAAAAATAATAATAAATTAAAAAAATATATAGAAAAATATCTATATTTTCAGGCAATAATTTTTTTCAATATATTCACAAATAAGAAACAAAGAATGCATAAATCTGATTATACCATCTCATACACAGTATACATGAATAAATATTGTATTATTATATTGTTTTATAGATAGGTGTATGCTACATACAATATTATAAATAATGCATTTTTATAACAGGGTTATCTATGTATCTCTAGAATTATTTTGAGGTGGTATGGTGTTTATAATATATATTGAATATTTAAATATGTCATACACTACATGTAAACATAGGAGGCATGTCATAGGGTCATAGAACAAAATAAAGTAGATCAATATCAAGTAACTTCCAGGCCTTCTAAACAAATGTAGAAAAGCTAGCCTTCTTCTCAATGTCATAAGCGAAACATGTCAGAAGTACTCTCGTGACATGCTGAAAAAATGGTAAAAATTAACCCTATGTCATAAACATGAGCCTGATTTTGCTCTCGCTGTTTTGGTAATTTAGAGGTAGTCTAAACCAAACGCTTTTTTCTAGACTACCATGAAAGAGGTCAGAAGGTAAAGCCCTTCTTTTGTTTTTTATGTAAATGTTTCTGCCGCTCCAGTGATGGCTCACAGACCCCAAAGGTTAAGGGTCAGGCTGATGTTTATATGTCAGACATTGAGTTTCCAGGGTAACAGACATTGTCTAAATCCTAAATTAAAGGAGATGGAGAACATGACCTATCATGACACTCAAACACATATTCTCTTTTCCCAGGCTCTTATATTTCTGACCCACAGAATTTAGATTGACACTGTCGTTGTTCTGACAATCCTAATATAACATTGATTATAAAATACCCTTTCAGTGTGTAATTATGTGTGTGTGTGTGTGTGTGTGTGTGTGTGTGTGTGTGTGTGTGTGTGTGTGTGTGTGTGTGTGTGTGTGTGTGTGTGTGTGTGTGTGTGTGTTTACCTGAAAGCATACTGTCACACTTAATAGAAGGGAATTTAAGCGTCATCTCATGTTTGTGTCTGTGGATGATTAGGTGGTCTTCTCTTTGGAAGCTCTATAAGAATCAGAAACAAAATTGATGTAGAAATAAATGTTAAAAAATTATTTAGAAGTATTAAACTATGAATCAATTATAGCTTGCAAAAATGACAATCCGCAGCAAAACAGGACATCTGTCACTCACCTGCGAGCATCCAGGAGCAATGCACACAAATGGCCTGTCCTGATCAACATTCATCATCTGAGATGTAAAAGACCTAATAAAAATACACATACAAACACATGCGCAGTGGAGATGACATTATGAAGTGCTCATGACAAGCAGCCAGATATAAATGACACCTACATATATTGTCTGTCTGTCTGCCTGTCTAAATAGATAAATAGACAGAGACTTTATGAACCCTTTTTAATGCCAGACTGACAGACAGACAGACAGACAGATAGATAGATAGATAGATAGATAGATAGATAGATAGATAGATAGATAGATAGATAGATAGATAGAATCTAATTACTGAAACTATTTGTATTGCTTTCAGTTCTCCATATTTTGTTCACATTTCCCTATAAATGAATTGTCTTCTGTGTACAGTGCGTGCTCTCTGTATATGATAAGTACCTTATAAAACGCATGCTTCTAGCCCGGTTACTCATAAAATGATCATTCCTCTAGTTATGACATCATCGTTTAGTTGAGCCGGGCAAGAGTTTGAATTGGCAAGACGGGTCTACGGTGCTAATGCCAAGCGTCTAACTGGCCTGCAGAATGACGTAATGGCGAAACCAGAGGATTCACGCGGTGTCACGAATATTACAAACCCAAACAACCAAGAGCAGACATCTCACCAGCGGCAGATATGTTAATTTAGCAGAAAAAAACACAGTAAAGTTGGCTGATTCACCCTGAAGTATATCTGTCGGCAGGTGTCATCCACGGTTTGATTAAACACAAAGCGAATGCAAATACTTTCTTCCTCTAAACATGCACATGTGTTTGATTATAACCGTTAAATCGTGTTCGATTTAACGTAAAATTCGAATAGGCTTCGAACCGCTAACTGTCCAACATTCGCTCCGGTTGCTGACAAGTTTGTTTACACTCTTTACTAAAGATTTGCAAAGACGACAGTTTTCAGTCAGAACCTTTTTTATATGAATATTGTTATCGCCTGTTTATTCGGCGGTGTCACACCCCCTCAAACAAACATTCTAACAGTTTGCGCCCATCTCAGTGGAAACCGGCACTTTGACATAACTTGACAGTAAAACAACAACAACCGCATCAAAAACCCACAAAACACTGTACAAAACAAGTAAACTGTTTGCGCTGTAAATCAGGTGTTTAATTATATTCAAAAGACTGACTGTAAAACAGTAACACTAACTTACCTAAACGCACGCAGACTGAGACAAGCAACGCTCCTCGCGCTGGGACGAAGCACGCTGAAGTGAAACGCGATTACAATATGATCTATTTACAGAAGCATTACATCACCTTGTGGTGACGTCACGTGGGATTCCTGAACTTCTAAATCATTGCGGTCCGCTTTTTAAAAAGAGGAGGTGCTTTCAGACTCCGCGCACCCGCCCACCGGAGGATGTAGCGGGCGTCCGATGCGGACATTGGAGCGTTGAGGGAGAAAAAAGGAAGGGGAGGCGCTTTACTGCGTGCGTGCTGCGCCAACAGCTGTCTGGAGCTGTGCGCGGGACGGTCCCGATTAACGTATGGTGTGTGTGTGTGTGTGTGTGTGTGTGTGTGTGTGTGTGTGTGTGTGTGTGTGTGTGTGTGTGTGTGTGTGTGTGTGTGTGTGTGTGTGTGTGTGTGTGTGTGTGTGTGTGTGTGTGTGTGTGTGTGTGTGTGTGTGTGTGTGTGTGTGATAAAGAGAAGAGAGCGGGCATGTATGAGCGCGTTAACTGCTGGCTTAACCCGTATATCCAAATGATTACCAGACGTTTGTTTTTTCCGACGGCCAACCAAATAAAACACGTATTTCTTTCCTTTTGTGGTTACAGTACCAGTGGAAAACAGTAAGATACAACTGGTCAGTTACTCAGTATGAGAAGAAAACTGCAAACCTTCAAGTAGCCTAAACTTATAATATTTATTTATTTATTTTTTATTATTTCACTTTCAATTGATTTTATTGCCACTTTATTGAAGATTTGGACTTTTAATATGATTTAAATTTTTTTTTTTTGAGAGTAAGTTAAGTTTTAATATTTATTTTTTTAAATAATAGCTTATATATTTTAAATATTTACAGAGGCCTAATATTGTAAACACACTTGGTAATGTTGGTAAGTGTTGATAATTAACTTTTAATCAAATGCATCTACTATACCGCTGTACTTTAAACACTTTAGACTCTTTTTAGAAACCTAAATGGAATACATTTTGTTTGGAGTGACTAAATATTTATGCTTTGTTACTTGTTTCAAGAATGTTTTGTTTAATCATCGTGTTAAACCACTGATGTCATGATTTGAAATGTATGACAGAATGTGGATACTTTCAGATTGTGTTAAAACTAAGGGGTGTGTCTGATGTTTCAGAACAACGTGGTCCTTTTGTGGTCATCGCAAGGGAAAGAGTGCAAGAAAACACACAAGTGGGAGGGAGGAAAATACAGTGTGAATCATTAGCCTGCTCTAACTCAGAATGCTAGTAGCTGTTTCCCCAGCAACACCACAAAACAGGAAGTGGTAATGATGTCACATCAAGCCCCAGCCTTAGCTGACTCCTACATCTTTGAGTATGAATCATTCACACACAGAGACAATGCAGCAGAGGGCATGCATCCACAGGCCTCATGACATCATCCATGTTTCTCCAATGATATAATTCAACTTAAAAAGGAACTGTCAGGTTCACCTTTTGTTTCACCATTCTATTATAATCTATAAAATTATAAATTCATGTTTTATTCAAAGTGACTTACAAAAGAGAAACTTAAAGCATTTTGTTACAGATAACAGTAATTAAACAAAATGTAAGGTGGTGCAGTGGTTAGCACTGTCGCCTCACAGCAAGAAGTTAGCTGGTTCAAGCCCCAGCTGGGCCAGTTGCCATTTCTGTGTGGAGTTTGCATGTTCTCCCCATGTTGCGTTGGTTTCCTCCGGGCGCTCCAGTTTCTCCCACAGTCCAAAGACATGCAGTACAGGTGAATTGAAAAAACTAAATTGGCTGTAGTGTATGTGTGTAAATGTGCAACTGTATAGGTGTTTCCCAGAACTGGCTAGCAGCTGGAAGGGCATCCGCTATGTAAAACATATGCTGGATAAGTTGGCGATTCATTCTGCTTTGGCCACCCCTGCTGAATAAAGGGACTAAGCCGAAGCAAAATTAATGATTGAAAACATAATGCATTTTGACTGATTTCACAAGGACATTGTTCTCTTTTGGATGAGAATATGGAATTTGTACACACAGAAATCCATAGACCTTTTCAAATAAATTGTTATCATTAAGTCTATATATTTACTTATGTAAATGTGTGTAAATGCATACATATTCAGTTTTTTTAATAATCGTTTTTAGGGGTTTTCATCTTTATTTTGATAGGACAGTGGAGAGTTATAGAGAGGAAAGTATGGAGAGGAGAGATAGGGGAAGGATCGGCATAGGACCTCAAGCCGGTAAACGAACTTGGGTCACCGTGAGCACCTCAGTGCAATGAGTCGACTCACTAAAATAATAAATTGGACAGGCCTGCAAAGATTGACAACTGTTTTATAAAATAGATATTAAAAACAAACAATAATAGTACTGGATTACTTTACAGTTCAGTTGCACAAGCACATACACTGCATTTTCAGTGTCTCACACTATAGTATTTGTTGCCTCAACTCAAAAACATAGGTAGAACCAGCGTCTTTTAAGTTGCGCCCCATACTTCCAATTCTGCAGGTGGTGGAAAATGCACCATTAAGTTAGTTTGCCAACTTCCAGTTAAACACCAGAAGACAGACACATAGGATATTTATCACCAGATTTTTTTTTAATTGTTCAATCATTACATTTGGTAAGTAATACTCCTTCGAATTGTGTTAACTGATATATATGAACTTATTATGTATTGTTGTTCATTCATTAATTTTCTTTTTGGCTTTCCTTCCTTTTGGCAGATTAAACCTTTTATTTGGACACATTTTTAAAGCTTAGTAAAGTTCTCAAGTTGTGAGAAAAACTACAGTAAAATCTTTCCCAGTGATTATTTGATGTATTTTTTTGTGGAGTTAATGAGTTAAGGAGAATGATGAGACACACACAACGTCATTACAAAGTTGACAGACAGATACACACACAATGCTCGCATTTAATTTTTCACTGTTGTTGCATGCAAATGTGACAGGATACAGGTTAATATCCACTGCTGTATGGAAATCCGTTATGTTGATGTACAAAGTAAACCTGATTTAATGTCCTCAAACCAGGATTGAAACATCTTGTTATTTTTGTACTGATACGTGGCTGCGGTGATAAGTACAGCTGAAGTTAATTGGTGTAATACATTACAAACATGAACTGTTTAAAACTTGTAAAACATATTCTTGATCAGATTTGATAATAATTGATCATCACAGCGAGCTGAACAGATTTTTAAAATCCAGTTGCTTTGTGCTCGTGTTGTGGCTGTCAATCAATTCGTTGGGTGAGTAAACCACACCCTTACATCAAGTTGCGATGGGCCTCAAAACGGGAGGGATTTGGATCCTATTGTCTTTATATCATCCCAATTAGACTGTAGACACACTATACCTACACACAGTTCTGTCCAAACAGCTTCCAAAAGATAATTTTCATCATAGGTTTTTCAATAATTCACCTAAATGCAATTTTGTCATACTAAAGGTTGCGGCAAATTCCTAGAGGAAGATTGACTTACAACAGGTGAGATTCACCAAATATATCCCATCATATGTATACAGTAAACAAATATTTTAGCAACAGCAGACAGATAATCTTGAAAGATTTCAATAAATTCATATTTTAAAGTTTAATGATAAGCTAATATTTCAAAGGCTTTATTTTTGTTTTCTTCATAGAATCACATCAAGCAGTGCGGGGCATTTGCTGTTGGAGCTACAAGTTTCACTACATTTCACAACAACTAATCGGCGAACACTAAAAGCTGAAGCACTACCATCACACAAGTAATGGTTTGTAGGTAAATAACATTTGGTATACCCATGTTGTGTTTATGTATTTCAGCTTCAGTGTTTTAGATGTTGTAATATAAATAAATAAATGTAACAACTTTGATGTTAGGCATTTTTATACAGGAAACAGATTTCAAAGAAGAGCTGAGCAGAGGGATGACCCCTGCAATCATCACAGTGATGGAAGATGTGACATACCACTTTCATGTGACTCAAGTGATGCAGCCCTTGTAATTGAGGAAGCAGTTGTTCTGCAAGGACTTGGTGGCATAAGAAGTCAGAAACATATGTTGATGGACATTGGAGCAGATCTCTGTAGTGCAAAGTACACTCACTTTAAAATACATTAAAATAAAAATATTGAGATCGGATTTTATCATTTTCTATTGCTCTGCTGTCATTTTTTCCCCCACAAAGAGCCTGTGTTAGTAAAATACAATTATAAAATGTAAGTTAATTGTTTGTAATTGCTAAATAAAGAGTAAAATCCTTTAATAAATGTGTAATGTATTTTGTTGTCTGTTCTGTTTTATATTGAGAAAATCTGCTAGTTTAAGTGCAGTGAACTTGAAAAGTAGAGGTAGTTCAGCTAAACTTAGCAAGTTCTGCTAACTTGATAATGAAAGTTCACCTTAAAGGTCCAGTTTACTTGTAATAAGTAGTTACGTAGGTGGCACGGTGACTCAGTGGTTTACACTGTCACCTCACAGCAAGGTCGCTTGTTTGAGTCCCAGCTGGATAAGCTTGCATTTCTGTGTGGAGTTTGCATGTCCTATTGGATTAACTAAAATGGCTGTAGTGTATGAGTGTGTGTGCGTGTGTGTGTGTGCGTGTGTGTGTGTGTGTGTGTGTGAATGTGAGAGTGTATGGATGCGTAAAACATATGCGGATTAAGTTGTCTTTTCATTCAGTTTTTGATGATTAAGGGACTAATGCCGAAAGAAAATGAATGAATAAATGAAAGTAGTTGGGTCAACTATTTACCTCTCCCAATCAACATTTTAATTAGTCAATACAACTTAACTGAGTCAATGCAACAAGTTGACCTGACTAAGTCAATTTGAGTCGACAAATCAGTTTTTACAGTTTATGATGTACTTCTTTACAATGACTGTGTAATAACTAGGTAATAACAATAAATCTACCCTCAAACCTTAACCAGTCACCTTATATTAACCAGCAGTACTTTCTGTAAGTACTGGGTAAGTGCACATTCTGTAAAATAAAGTGCAACTAAAATAACGGCAGTCTTTTGTGCAGTGGTAGTTTCTCTGCTGCTTATGTTTGCATGTGCATGCTGCTGGCTGTGCAACTAATGTGTGTAATTTACTGGAGTAGACCTTACTGTAGGTGGACCCATCTGTTTGCGTGGTTTGAGCAGACCATTATTTACGTATACAACTGGGAAATGAAGAGTCGCTCTAAGTTCACTGTAACATTTTTTTTTAAGTTTATGAAATCATTAAATTACAATGTAAATTGTTGGTTGAAGATGATATAATTAAAAATGTTAATACCTTAAATAGATTGATTGAGCTATTGCATTATTATTGCATTATTTTGTTAAACCCAAATATTTGTTTTGAAAGTGTACACTGTAAAAACCCTGGTTGCCTTTAATATTTAAGCTGAATCAAATTAACATTATGAATTCATTTAACTAATATTATGTTGAACTGACTTAAAACAGCTTGCAAACCTTATAAAATTAAGTTAGAACATGATTAACTTAGTTTAATAAGTTACAATGAACTAAAAACCTATGCTGTCATGACTGATCTTATAATTTTTTACAGTGTTGTAAATGAAGGTGTCTTGACTCTTTTAACATATTCTTAAGTGAACGAATGTTTGCGCATTGGCAAGTATGGGTCACCAGGTCATATCTTTCTCTGTAATACTTTAGGATTTATATATAAATCCTCAAAGGTTTACTGCAAATAAGTGATACTCTATTGGACCAATGAAAAAATTGCCATTAGAAAAAAAATGGACTCTTTAATATTCATATTGTTTAACCTGGCATGTCTTCCTCACCATTTTTACCTTTTTAGCATCTGGCATCAACTGCTTTGGTCTGTTTTGTGTGAGGCAGATGGTTACATTTACCAACATCTGGCAGGCTTTACGTTATGATTTCATGAGGTGAATCCCGTTTTTGCTTTGCTACAATCAATATTGCCTTGGGAATTGATCGAACACATAAACACAAAATTATAAATATACAGAAGAGAGATGTTTTTTTGAAAAGTACCATGGAATAAAATGTGGTCATTTATTCTCAGTTATTTGCATAGACCAACGACAGAGAACATTTATAACAGGGAGATTTAACGGTTGATTAACAAGTGCTGGTCAGCGCACGGTCACTGTCATGGACTGATCAAAGGGACATTCCTCCTGCTCTTTGTGAACACACTACCTTACATGGAAGTTTGTGGCATACCGGACAAATTCAAAGTCATTGTAAAAAAGATCTTTTGTAAATAAATAAATAAATAACACATTTTAGAGTCTGGTCATGATCAAATTGTCATAATATTGTATGTGTAGGTGTATTTTAAACATTTGAGATAACGGTCATCCATTGACAATGAGGTGAAAGATACAGATCTAGAGGTTTGAAGATTTTTAAGGTACAAAATGTCACATACATCATGAATTTATGTATACATATAATATATGGGACATATAGGTAAATGCAATGTATAGCAAAAAAATATATACTAATACAAGAAATATAAATACAATATATTTTTTAAAAGAAAAGAAAAAATGCAAGTAATTGCAAATATGCCGTGTAGTATGTGTGTGGTTGTGTGTGTATATTCTATTGTGCAGACTTAAGGTTATTAATGCTCTTTGAACTGACACCCAAACCCTACACCCTAAAATTGTGCCATCATTTACTCATCCTTGACTTGCTCTAAACAAGTTAGACCTTTTAAAACACACAAAAAAACTATATTTTGAAAAAAGTTGCAAAACCCTGACTTCCATAGTTGCATACTAGTAAAATAAAAAGGTATTCAACTCTCAAAAATATCTACTTTTGTGTTCAACAGAACAATGAAACACAAACGGATTTGGAACAACTCTAGAGTAATCAAATGATGCAGATTTTTTCAGTTTTGGGCGGAAACTTTCCCTTTAACCTTCCTGTCATGTTCGGGTCAAATCTGACCAATTTACAGCCTAAATCTCTTAAATACAACTCTTAAATATTGTGTTTTACATTTGATTGCCTAAGAGCCTTATGATATCTTCCACACTCTGTATTTAAAGTGATAAGCACTTCTTTCATTAAGTGTTTTAGTCAACCTTGTTACACCTGTGGTGTTCCTGGTCAAAAGTGTCCGCTAAAAGGAAATGAATGCGTATCCAGACTATATTGACTTATCAAACAGAAAAAAATATACTGTACAATACCTTAACTCACTCACTATTTGTATATTCACCGCAGTTATGTTATGCCTAATTCTATAAATATATGTTAAACACTAATTTGAGACATTTTTGAGACATACTTTGACTTCACAGCTGAAGAATTTTGAATAGAAATGTGGTTTTGAAAAATGTTTTTGTGCTAATTTAAGAGCAGGTTATAATGAACCGGTCAATTTTAAACAGGAACACTAAAGTAAGGGCCAGGAGGTAAACACGTCAAAAGGGTTAACTGATTAATAAATACTTTTATATTATTAATAACTGCTCACTGTTTGTATAAGTTAACTAATGCATTTTATAACTTTATAAATTTAATCTACACAAAATATTTAAAACAACTGTGTAATTACTGCTTAAATAAGTGTCCCATGTAAAGGGTATTTTGGGTTGATCTGCATTCCCAGGCTATGGGACTATTAAATCGTATTGCTTGGCTGGAATAGTAGCAAAAGATGCACTAAAATAATCAATAATCCAGTTGCTTATTTGGCCATTCCTTCTAAGACAAGCATTCCTCGTTCGCTCATGCAGGTGAACAGCAGAGTGTTTGTTTTACCGGTGCCTCCTCCTCCTCCTGCTGCTCCTGCTCCTCCGTCATGCCTCTTTGCCCCCATCCCCCTCCCATTGGCTGCCAGCCGTCTAAACAGCTCCAGCTGCAATCACCGCCGCCGCTGCTGCTGCAACGAGCTGCCGGCTATTTGATCACCCCCATCCCGCACAGCCTCTGCCTCCACTGGTCTGCAAACGCACGGACCTCTGCCAATACATCCATTATGACGGGCGTCGCTGCTGCCTCCTTTTTCTCTAACGTTTGCCGGTTTGGCGGTTGCGGGCTGCACTTCGAGTCCCTCGGCGAGCTCATCGTTCACATCGAAGATAACCACATCGGTGAGTGCCGCTCCGGTTTCGGCCTGCTGTCCCGCTAAGTGGCCGCTGTGAAGCGGTGAGAATGCGCGTCTGTGCACGGCTCGTTTGGCTAGGTTGTATAAAGTGACGCGCTAATTTACTTGTACGGACTCGCTGCAAATTTAGTAGCATTAGCATTAATCTTATTTATTATGAGACGTTAGATAGTCATATGCAGGTTTCAGATACGGGTGCACGGGTTGGTGCACGGTTACCAGACGCTGCTCTGTTTAGATGTAGGCCTGTATATACATGTGGCAAGCCGTTTTTACATTTACTGCATGAAATGACTAACATCTGATTTCGTTGTTAAAGTGTTTAGTTTTATGCTCTTAATAACTATAATGATTTCCAATAGTGACTAATATGCAGAATTGTACTTTTATCTGTTAAACTTATGGAAAAACTGATGCTTATTTTTTATTATTTTTATTACTAGCCTATTATAGTGTTATAATACTTATTAAACACTTAGTACTTGGGCAAAAAGTGCAGTGTTTAATTTAAAAGTGCACTTAATTTAACTGGTATAAAATGGCTTTCTGGAATACTTGATTGTGATTGGTCACTATTGTTATTGTTATTTCCCAATAACAACCATTTAAACTAAAGCTGCAGTCACACTGCACTCTTTGCCCATAGGCTTTCATTCGTGAAATTACATGATTGCTTTATACCAATATTGCTTTAGATTATAGAAGAGCAAAATGTGACCTCTCTGTACAGAAATTTAAAATGGGGAGGAGGGCTGTGTGTAGAACTTTGCAATTAGTTAATTGCAAGAGGCTGCGCTGCAATATGAAATATATATTATGTATTATTAAATTACCCCACCCAGAGCTAATGCATGTGTGACAGTCTTACTAGCCAATTAAGTGAGCACACTTTTGTTCAGCTCAATCAGAATTGCACAACTGAACTACACCCACAATAAAATAAAATAATAAAAAAACTGGATAGAAATGACAAGTGGAATTATGGCATCTGCTGCTTCAGAAGCATTAGCAGACAAATTAATGCAATTAGATATTTTCCCCATATGGGAAGCAATCACTTGTTTATCTCTAATCATCTTGTTTTATCATCTAAGTTTTCCTTTAACAAGTTTCTTTTAATTGATAAATTATTACAGCTCACATCAATAGTTTGTGTCTAATTATGACAAGTACTCATGTAATAAGCAGGATAATGTACATCCAGCAAGTTGTTTATACAATAAATCCCTTAAGTTTTTATCTGCTGTTAAGCTTGTCAGGTTTCTTCGGTGATAACAACCGGCTGGATGTACATTATACCTTATGTAATACTTCAAAATGAGGATTCTATTTTGGGATTGATGGTTGTAAAATCCATTAATATCTGTGGTGGAACCTTTAAAAGGCCATGAAACCCCCTCGTTTCAGCAGGGTGTTTTCACACCTCTACTTTGGAAAAAATCAGAAAAGTGGGCGTGTCCAGCTCTGTTTAGGGGGGGAGTGTCAGAGGAACCAAAGTGGGATGGTGTGAGAGTGTCTATTTGGGCACGCGCGAGTTTCAGAGTCAAAACACACACACACACACACACACGGGAGAAAGTGATGGTGTTTACATGGACATCTGTAGTCGAATTATTTGCCAAATTATTAAATTGTGGACTTTAACTGCAGTTTGGCTCTTTCATTTAGGGAATTCATTTATGCCCCTCGTGACAAACGAGATATTAGATTCGAGGAACTGCTCTAAGCGTGTATTTTTTACGCAATGTTTGATACCGCACGGTGAATAGGAGAAAAAAACCCTCCGCATTTCCTGGAAACTTAGATGCACACAGCAGGTAGTGTCAGAAAGCCGCGTGTGTTATTCCGGTCACAAAATGCGGTGAAAATCCTACACGAGGTTAAAGTTTGGTTGTGGTGCTAACGTGTTTACACTCGGTGCAATAGTTAACTTAGTTCGATACGAACAAACTGAATAAACAAAGAGCACTGGTCGCTCACTTACCAAATCTGTAGAGACAGGACAATCACCAGCAACTAGAGCCGCATCTTTATTAAGAGAAGACTACAAGCGAATCCGGATCTCAGCGTTTGCAGATGAGAACAGCTCTCAGGTAAACAATGTTCCTCCTTAGACACAAAAGTTAAGTTATTGTTGTCGCGCGTCGCGTCGCGTCGCGTACACTGTTAATCGACGCGTGACTCCAGCTGCGCTCTCACAGAGAGAAAATGAAAACAAAACTTAACTGCAGCAAACTATAAAAGCAACACTTCACGCTTGTTTTCCAACACAACGTGGTGTGTCTGTCGTCTAAACACTGTGACAGTAATGAATATTAATGAAGTTGCACAATAGAGCCCGCTGATTGGTTTGAACCAAGCCTTACTCATGCATTAATGCATCACACTGTAAGACGTAATAAGACACACTCTGTCATAGGGGTGTCACGATTTCGATTCTTAATCGAAATCGATCGAAATTTATGCTCAATTTCGATTATCGAATCAAAAAATAGAATCGTCGATGCTGCCACGCCCCCATGTCACGTCAGCCTGGCTTGCCAAGTGGGAAAAAAACAGGCTTGTTGAAGTGCTTGTTAAACTGCAAAAGCAGGAGACCCGTCGACAGAACTTAAACCCTCTCCTCTTTCAATGAAGTCGCCGGTGTGTAAGCATTTCCAGTGTGTTATGTTGACAACGTTCGTGTCGTCGACAAAAAAAACACAGTTTTGCAAGCTCTGCTATGTACGTATTACGTACGGTTCGTCCGATAGACAACACCGTTATCGCGATCCTCCGCCCGGCCCCGTTGCAAATCCGCTCGCGAAAAGTACACACTCAGGCCCCGTTTACACTGTCTTTGTTTTTAAATGGCATTTTAGAACGACAACGATTTGACATCCACAGTGGCGTGTAGCATTTCTGAGCAGCCCTCCTTCCTCTCTACCTCTGAAAATGCACATCACGTGACCACACAGACACAGACGCACACACAGCCATGCGCACGAGACAGCAGGTCCAGGCAGTCAGAGGACTGCTTCAATCTTTCACTCACTTGTACTTAGTCATTTTAGCGAACACCTCAGATACTGTTGGCTGGTTCCTGTTGGTTGTGCACCTTTTTTACCGACGCCATTATAACGACACAGATCACTGCCTATTCACGAGTCCCACAGAAAAAGTGATTGAGTGATTATTCATTTACTGTATGATTTGTTTATGGGTAAAACAAAGACCATGCAGGTCAGGTAGTTTAAACGGTAGGCTACAAATAATTAATTGGTCATTAATTAATTATTCATAATCAAAAATCGAACCGAATCGTGCCTTTAGAATCGAAAATGTAATTGATCGAGGATTTGGAGGATCGTAACACCCTTACTCTGGCACAGACGTCCAGTCTTAACGCTGGAATACACGCTATTATCTCATGTCCATGACGCAGCTTCAAAAATTTGTTTTAAATTGGAAGTACGAATTAGCTTGAAATAACGCAAAAACAACCAATTTACACTTTTTAGTGAAATATAGGTGTCCTAATAGTGTTTTTAGCAGTGTGGGAATCATATACGACTGTCAGCAGCTCAAAAAAATGTGTTTTGGTGTTTCGTGACCCTTTAATTTGCAAAAAGGTTCTTTATAGTGGACATTGGCTCTTTCAAATTGTAAAATGTTCTTTATACGTAGAAAAAAAGCTTTTCAGGGAAAACAAAATAATTTTTTAAGGGTACCAGATATGGTTATCTGAAAAAAAAAAGGTGTTTAATAATATAAATGATAACTATAACTAAACGGCATCAACATTAACTAATAAATGTATGACTACTGACTTGCTGCAGATATTTTATAGCAAAATTTAAATTTGACAACTTTTTAAAATTTTTAAAATAGATTTTTGATTTTAATACTATGAAAGCTCTTTGGAAATGTTATTGTAAAGATGATTTAACTTAACTAATAAAAGTGTAACACAACAGTGCAACAGATTTAATCCTCAAATTAAATGCAAATGAATATTAAATATGTAGTTCAATACAATGAGTATTTTCCATAAATGTTTGTGATAAAGTTTTTGTTTGAAGTCATTGTTTAAAGTAACAATGATTGTTTAGCATAGTAATATAAGTAACACTAATTACTAATCAGATGTAAAGTCTCTATTGGGATATTGAAACTCCGTAAATATAAAAAATATAAGTATATAATATCTGGTCAATTTTGAGGAATACATGTAAAAACGGCTTGCCATATCTACAGTAATTAGCGATAGTGGTGGAGAGCCATTGTTTACTACTAGTGTTGTGTATTCAAGCTGTCTGTCAAGTCTGCAACAATGAATCTTCGTTTAGGTGTGTGATGATTTACATCCTTCAATTCAGTTTTCAAATGAGCTTTTGAAACAGAACTTTTAACAGAGTAATTTTTACTTTTAAAATTTTTACTTATTCTGAGCAATTTACTGTAATTTATTTCATATTACCAGCAGTTCATCACTCATCCCCTGCAAGTGCCTATTTCCATAGCAATTGTTGTAATGAGAAATTTGATATTGAAACATATGAAGACTGCTATAAAGCAGCTATAAAAACAAGTGTATCATTGTTCAAATCAAGTCAATTTATTGTAAGTTCAGTTCAAATGAATAGTGTGAAATTTGTGATATTATAAAGAGATTACCCTTAGTGTTAAGCAGCTCCACAAAAGGTAGCGATGTTTTTGATCAACTTCAGTCAGAATGATCAGTTCTGAATCAGTTCAGTTCAATAACCCTGCCAATTTGACAGCTTGCAAGATAGGAATTACTTCGAGCAGCTCCACAGAAGACAATAGTTGTGTCCTTAATGACATGTTATACACTATGGAATTATATAGTAGTACTTATGCACTATGCACCCAGCTATTCAGCATTGTAGTCTGAAGGCCTCATCTCCTTTACTACAAAGTTAAACCTGTAACAATTGGGTGCATGAGGTATCAAACATTACACAGCTCTTTTTACTCAGTTAT